CCTCCGAAATCATGTGCAACCCTAGATGCCTCTGGGTACTGAAGCGGGAACATTACCCAGCGACGTGGGTTTTCCTTCAATAAGGGGTCGTTCTTCTCCAGCTCCTTGTACTTGTCCGAGACGGTGCTCTTCTTCGGTACTGTGACCAGTGAGTGGTTTGAGTCCAGCACGGCGTCCAAGTCCTCCGGGAGACTCACCTCATAGTTTCGCACCACAGTGCCATCTGGTGCAATGAGTGATTGATGGGGAAGACCAGAAACCTGGTAGCTCTCAGGCGCATGTTCATCCACAACTGATGCCACCACACACCGGGTGATGCCATGTTGCTCCGCGAAGGCTGAAGCATCTTCCAAAGAGCCATCTACACAAATCAAGACAAAGTCACAACGATCTCCGTAGCTTTCCGCCAGGTGCTCCAAATGCTGAGCAGCCTTTGGGCATGCCTCACACCAAGGTGCGAAAAAGTCTAAGACCATCGCCTGTCCAGGCTTCTTGAAGGTAAGAAGATTAGATTTGCACCTGTCGCCCGTGCTGGAGATCACCTCCAGGGCGAAGTCAGGTGCAAACGTTCCGATCATCTGGGCAGCCTGCGCCATCTTTGATCCGATCAGACAGAGTTGACAAATTGGCAATGGGACGCAAAAATCTGAGCCGCAAGATTCAAACAAAGTAAAATGCAGGCACTGGCAAGTGCACCGAAACAACCACCCACTTGCGAGGACATCGAAGACTGAGTCTTTCCGGGAAAGAAATCATAGAACCAGTGACCCTGACAGCAAAATGAGACATTTCACCAGTGAGCACTAAGGCCAGGGCCGTTCACTGTAGCCATTCCTGGACAGGGATAAGGTCAGCTGAATAGGGAGGTGGTTCAGGACAGGAGAGGACAGCGAGGACAAAAGGACGATAGATTGCAAATACGTTTGTCCCACTAAAGCCGTCCAAAGAGGACCTTGTGCAGCTCAGTTGCACTAATGGACATTGAGGACGAACCAATCCATCCTGCAGATCAAAACTGATGCAAAAACCCTTTAAGCTTCAGTCTTAACATCAACAAGTAACAAGCAAAATGCATGCCCAAACGAAGCTATCCATCATGGTGTGCTTGCAAGTGTTTTGCATGGTGTATGGCTGGCAAAGAGACAATTGCACCAACTATACTTACCCTTGTGCAGAGGAGAAATATGCAGACCAAGTAATTGTGATATATGTATGCATATATATATATATACCGGTAGTATGTACATACATATTGGGCGTGAAAAATATGTTTATCCACTGCCGCCTGCCTGTCTGGAGACTAAACTGTCACTGACAAGGAGCAAGCAAAAAGCGTATAGGGCGGTGGTGATGATTCCTGAATCGTGTTCCTCAAAAGGCAAGAAAGCCCTGAAACAGAATGGCCTTGGGCCGTTGGCAAGAACCAATAACCTTCACATGCTCTAGGACTCTAGAATCTAGAAAAGGGCATCTTTCGATCTCTTTCGGCTTTGTACAAATCCTGGACTGCAACGGCTTCAGAGCATTGCATGGCACAACAACATGTTCAAGCAGAGACGTCATGGAAATATGGGAGACGACTAGATGCAAGCCCTACAGACTCTCGAAAAGACATCTTTTCCCAATACCAAAAGCCAGCTGCAGGTCGGGGAATGCACCATCTGAGAACTGCTCCAGACGGTTTGTGTAGTAGCGATGCACTTGTTACTATTAGGTTCTTGTTTCTAATAGCTTCTTGTTACTAGTAGTAAGGCACTTGTTACTAGTAGCGATGCACTTGTTAGTAGTAGCTCCCCTCATACCGAAACCGCAGTTCCAATTGACCTGCCTGCGTTCGACCCAGAACGCAATGGTCAATGCATGCATTGTAGCCTCAGCCGAAAAGGCTGTTTGGGCTGAAACTCTGTGGATCTGAGTCAACTGTAAGTTTGATCCAGGAAAAGGTTTACAGATATGTTTGCACCTTTGTAGAATGGATGCTGGTTGCCAGGCACTTGAAAATTAGTTAAAGACTGATAGAGATTGGATGACTCCATCCACTGCATCCAAGTGGCACACCTTCCGATCTTCCTCTGGTAAGGGCTTCAAGACAAAGGGACGAGGTAGCAAATACTGGGCACGACAGTTGTCCATGCAACCCTCTACCTAGGAGCGAGCCGAAGCAGGGCAAGACAAGATTGAGCCTTGTTACTAATAGCTTCTTGTTTCTAATAGCTTCTTGTTACTAGTAGTAAGGCGCTTGTTACTAGTAGCGATGCACTTGTTACTAATAGCTTCTTGTTTCTGGAAAAGATTTTCACAGGACTTGGATCGTCATGATATGTCCAGTCTTCAGGGTCACCAGTCTTCTTGGTGACCCATTGCCGAATGTCACCCTACAAGCATCAACTCTACGATGTAACTCCACAAACCAGGGCCATTGGGCGAACCGAGCTGCCTGGGCTGCTTCGCATGCCCTTGCCTCACCTGGCTTAAGCTCCTGGGAATGGCATCTATTCAATACATCTTCACATATCTCTGAATCTCTAGTACTTTGTCTTCTGAAGACATCTGAATGCTTCACAAAATCTGAAGGCATCTGAATTCTTCAAATCTCCCTGCCAAGACTCCATCCGACACGTCTTGGGGAAGGGATCCAAAGAAAACTCCTGAGCACCAAGAGTGAGAGAGCTAAAGAGAGCTAAAACAATTTCTCTGCGGATGCCATTGCAAAACAGGTGAATCGGCCGCGGGGCCTGCTCCCTTACCTTGTGAAGGTCTTGCCTAAACTAATTCCTCCAGGGTGCTGCGTCCTCTTCTTTCTCACGTGCTGCAGCGTCTGATTCATCTACCGTCTCTGTGGGGTCGTCAGACTCGTCACCTGCTGGCATGCCACAAAGTTGCTGTAGCGTCCACTCTTTCTGCAAGATTCGAACGAACAACAAAGTTGCGACCTGCCTACGAAAATGAAGGACCCGCGGCATCTTCGCCTGTCGTCACACACCAAGGGAGCAAGTGGACATAGGTATATAGTTCTTTAGTGTTATTACTATTAATATATATATATAATACCAAAAACTGTGGCATGTGACATAATGCATCTATGCGCAATCGATATATAATACATTTAATACATACACCCACAAAGTTTGTGGGACCAAGGCTGTTAACCCTGAGAGTCCACATCCATGACTCGAGGTCACGTGCTCAAGATTTTGGGTCGACGTCTGATTCGGTTTTGGCGTGTCAGGAACTGGATGAGGTCATGTAGTTTCCAGATGTTTGACAGTGCTCTATGAGCGAGTTGGTATGAGCGGCTTAAGGATGAAGCAATCAGCCTTGTCGCAGGCTTGGTCGAAAGGAACTATGATCAAACGATGGGGCCAACAGAGGTTCACACATCACGGAGGGAAGTGTCGCAGAATGTGCAGAACAGGACATGACCTCCCCGGCCACAACTTTGGCCTTGATATCCAGTTCTTTCAGTTTGGTATGCTAATGGCATCACAATGGATGGTGGGGAAAAAGAAAAAAAACGCGTAACATTGTGTGCAAAACATCTTTCTGGGATAAACAATCACGAGAGAGCTGTTCCTTTGGCATTTGCTGGGACATTGCATCAGTTGCTCTTGAAGCAAACAGCTAGTAGGTTGGAGGCCATCGCTATTAGGGGGAGGCCATCGCTTCTAGGTTGGAGGCCATCGCTAGTAGGTTGGAGGCTATTGCTACTAGTAGCAAATAGCTACTAGTAGCTTCAATTAGTTGCAGGTCGAACCAATGTTGATCATACCTTTGAGCATGAAAACCACCCTTCAATTCCCAAGCACATCCTGGCAATGTCCGGCCCACGGTCCCAAAACCACAAGCCAGGCACGCGGTCTCTCCAAGAACGATGACATCTCGCTCAGTGGTCGAAGCTTCGGCCGTGCCTGCAGGAAGGGTATTGAGCAGCAGATTCTTGAACCTCCGGTTTCCATCAGCTGAATGCTTATTTGATTGTTAAATTTCGTGGCCTAAACTGTCTTTGAGAAGTCCAGAATCTGCCCATGTCGTCTGAAATTGAGGCTTGGCAGTCGGGACAGAGTCGTATGACAACCTGAAAGAACCGCGTTTGTCCTGGTACCAAGTTCCAAGCCTGCGCATTCAATTCTTACTATATACAGATGCTTATATTATATATATATATATTATATCAACACCACCTCACTTTCCCTTGCGTGAATTCTGTGTTGCCCTGCACCTGCAGGCCAAACAAAGTACCCCAAGCATCCTCCCCTGGCAATGCTGGATTGCGGATAGTTGTATGGATTCTGAGAGTTTCACTGCTGGACACATCTATTTACAATGTCCGGTACTTGTAGACCACTACCGTATTATGTCAGGTTCATTCTTCATATTCCTATCCACGTCCCATTCCACCGCGCTGCTGCCAACTGATTCTTTCCAGTTTCGGGAGAGGCCCTGACGCAGGATGTCATGCTTCGTTGACACCATCAATGCGCTGCTGGGGCGTCGCATTGGGCTTCCATCGCATCGAAACGGACGTCCCTAAGGCCATGCGCGGGAAAACTACAAAATCCTCCTTTCATGGACCAAGCAAGAAAATCAAGGAGACCGTGGAAGAGCAAGTATGGCATACCCTTGTCAACGGGCCTGTATATATATGTGTATAAATAACCAAATTTGTTCGAGCACACATTTACATGTGGAATGGTTGCTACTGTTTGTTGCTTCTGTTTGAGAAGAGCGGCCCCAGGTGTGAGACAATCAATGCCAGTCAAATAGCAGGCTACCGCACAATGAGTGGTGGATGCGCATGCAAGCCGCAGCTCTAAGTGCAACAAGAAGCAGCAATGCAGGTTTAATGATTGTTTGCCTTCAAGAACCCTCACAACCTCACAGCCAAAAAACAGAAACACCTTCCATGCACTATTATAGTCAGTAGGTTTGATGATGTCTTTAGCCTCCCAAATGACCATTTGGTTCTGACAGGGGTTGTTGAGTTCATCCGAGGCGAGCACACGCTGACGCCACTTTCGAAAGTTCGCGAGGTTCCTTGCTTGAAAGTTGTGGCAACAAACGACAGTTATGGCTTGGTTTGTCCGAGAGCTTCAAAAATGAGGAGCCGTTGAAACCTGACACTCCCCGTGGAAGCGGGTCATGATGCACCAAGACCGAAAAAAGCCGAGTGATCTGGACTGCCTGGTACGACCCAGAAGTCCTGCCTGCGCAGGCGCTGCGTTTCAGGATGATCTGCACCCAGTGCTTCCGCATAACCTGACGCAGCACGCTTCAGCAGGGCCTGCCAGATGAAGCTTGCAAGGCTTGCAGGTTGGCACATACAAGCGACCGCAAACAATCTAAACCAAGCGCCATACATCGTCGACGGGCCAAAGCTGTTCTTTGTTGGAAAAGACTGACCCGGAGGCCCGGAAGCCAAGTCTGTGAAGAGCTTAATCCATGCCATTCAACCTTTGGTCCAAACCGGCAAGTCTGGGTATACAGCAGTGAATTTGATCACCAACAAACCGGATGAGTGACATGTGCAGGGACTGTCTAAAGCGCATTTGAGTATCCTTTTGACATCGCACATGTGGACGAGGCACAATCAACCAAGAGCCCAAAAGTGCTGTGGCCCTTCAGTCATGGGTTTGCCGGTAACCTCCCATGAGGAACCTCAGCTTCAGGCAGTGCACCAGGCGCTGCCTTCTGCTTTAGCAGAACCGCCAAGTTTCTAGCCTTGATGGTCGAACAAGTGTGGGCAATATGGAGGTCGCGACATCCCACTCTCTGGGGCCTACATCGGCGTCAGTTCTAATCAAATCTACAAAATCCAGATCTACATCTTTGGTAGACTGCATTGTCTGCTGAAGCTTCAGAGACACGATGCTGTGAACCCGGACGCAGTTCAAGACTTGCGGATGATCAACTCCTAAAGATGCCTCCAAGTCGGCCAAGGCTTGCCGCAGCAAGGGCTCAGCCTAGCTATCAGACTTTTTCGTTTCAAACAGTACAGCTGCCATGCAACAGTCTCTTGGAATGGGACCCAGTGCTTCACTGTTTCTTTTGATCTTTGAGACTGTCGACAGGTCTCTGCCCTTGGGCCTGGACAGCTGGGAAAGCTGAAGGGTTCTACAAATCTCTGGGATTGGACGTCAAACGGGTTCTTCCAACTCAGGGATGAACAGGGCAGCAAGCATGACCCTCAGTATCCCATGTGCAGCCTCGCTGGTGCGGCCCTGCGCGTGAAGGATTTGTGCAAGCCTGACAGAAAAATATTCACCAGACACAGGAGCGGACAATCAGTGGTGGTGGTTGGTTGGTGGTTGGTGGTTGGTGGACGGGCGGGGGGAGGAGGAGCAGGAGGAGGAAGGTCGAGCGGACACAGCACAGCGAAACATATCTTGGAAGCTGTCACGCAGATCCTTGGAGTGAGTGAGCGCTTCAGGAAATCCTTCTCCATGCTGCGCGCAACCTGCCACGCAAGTCACACAGGGCGTACATCCGACCCCTTCGAGAGCACCATGTGCTGCGCCTGCCACGCAAGTCACACCAGCAGAGCGGCGGAGACCCAGCGACGCCAGGGCGTACATCTTCATTCAGAACCCTAAGGCGACTGATCAGAGGGCTACTCATCAACCCACCTGTCCACAACTTCCCAGATTCCAGAACATTCCCAAACATACTGGATAATACTGTTTCCTTCTTGAACCTACAATTTCATTTTGGTGTCATTGCAGGCAGCAAACTACCAGCGCCCTTTTCACTGCTCTGTTCTGGGGTACTTGGTCTTGGAAGGCATTGAGTCCATAATGCCTTGGAGCGCCTGGGTTACATCATCTCTAAGGATTCCAGGCTCTTGCTCAACATCTCCTCCTATCCTGAAGGGAGCTATGTCTTTGACATACCCCCACTTGTCCCACAACCACTGATGCACTTGGCAAAGCTTTGCCTTCCAGTCTTCTGCATCTTGGTGGTTGAAGCTTCTACTAAAGGTCTTCTGTGCAAAGGGTGGGGGTTGCCACCCAATACAGTCAGATGAACTCTTGAAGCTGCCAACCCATCCTTAGCCAACCAATAGGGGAACTCAAAAACCCAAAAGGCCCTAGCCAACAGTGGGGTGGAGAAGGAACTCAGATAGTCCAGGTGTCAAACATATCTTAGTGCTGCAATTTATACAGACACAACAACGAAAAAGAAAACTGCTCAGCAAGTACAAACCCAGGTTTCTGTGGTCCATGTGATTTAGCACTATCTTGCCTTGTGGTGGGCAGAGGTCAGCTAAGATACCAGGTGTCTCATGCAAGTTGGGGGCCCTCATGTGTGACCCTGCCCTTGCAGCTGCTGGCGCCACAGCCTCAGCTTCTGCACTGCCCATTGCTTCCTCACTTCCTCTTGAATCCTTTGCTTCACCTTCAACTCTAGCCTCCTCACCACTTTCAGCCTTTCTCTTTTGTGAGGCCTCAGCTTCATGTGCCACTTCCTCTTGGCTTCCCTGTTCAAAGGCTGCAGGCTTCTCTTTGGTTTCACCCACCATTTCCTGCTGAGCTTCTTCAGCCACTGGCTTCTCTTTAGTCTCTTCACTGTGATTGCCAGGCTCTTCAGCTGGCATATTTCCCCCTCTTCCTCTTCCTCTCCCCTTTCTTCCTCTCCCTCTGCCTCTTCCTTTGCCTTTTCCTCTGCCTCTGCCCCTATCTCTTGTTTTGTCTAGTAGCTCAATTGCTTCTTGCAAAGCCCTCTTAGATCTGTTCTTCTTCACTTTCGCCTTTTCCCTCTTCAAATCAGGATCTCCTAAATTCCCTGTCTCTTCTGCTTGCTCTAGCAAATCTTCATAGTCACTGAAGTCTTCATCCTCCTCCTCTTCCTCACCTTCTGCATTTGCTGCATTCTTTGCTTTTTTCCCCATGGTAGACCTATGCAATGCATCATCTTGCTCTTCCTGTGACTCTAGAAACAATGCAAAAATTTGTTTGTAAAGGTCCATCTTGCTTTTCCCAGCTGGGGTTTGGCCATAGTGCTTCAAAACAGTCACACATTGCTTTATGGTCAAATCAAGGCCTTGCGCTATTCTAGCATGTGGCAGGTCCATGGCACCAGAAGTCTGTTCCAGAATCAAAGGGCCAAAAACATTTTGGAGCACTGGTCTGGCTGGTATTGACAACCAATCCTGCAAGTCTGAAACACTGTGCCAGGAAAGGGATGAAGCTGATTCACATAGCCCTGCTTTCACAAACCCATCTTCAGTGTGTCCCACAACATGAGCTTCCCAGGCCAAGAAATTGAAAGGGCTTTTGGCCACAACCATCAGCATCACTCCTGACTGCCTAGAGGCAACAATGCTGCCTGGGGCGCCCACCAAACAGGTCATGCTGGAGCCACTGAATGCTGTTGGCTCCATTCTCACACCCTGGGCAAGCAACTCTTCCAGGGCTGCAGCTTCTGAAAACCTGTGCTGCATTAGGTGCCAAAAGAATCAGGATTAAGCCATTGACAAAACAAAAAACTGGAAGAATAAAAAAACTTGGTGCCAACCACAAAGCAAGGAGCAAAGAAGCATGAGAAGTACTGGGCCATTCAAATCCAGGACTTGAAGACTTGTGTTTCATAAGGTTTTGAAATTCTTTCTTCATCTTGTGCTGGTTTGGGTGAGTACAAGAAGTCAGATTCTTTGCCCAATGTCTTCCAAGTGTGGCTGTTGCTTTCTTCTGATCACTAACACGCACAGTGTTTATGCCCCTGCCTTCCAACACCCCACACCTGATAAGTGTCTGAAACTTTTGCATCCTGCCAACCTGCTCATGCCTGGCCACAGACAGAAGATCCTTCATATGCTGGTGGCTGTTCTCAACACACACTGTGTCTCCTAGGTTTCTGCATGCAGTTTGGGCCATGAGCACAGCATCTGAAGCACCATACCCCACAGCATGTTTCTGGTCCATCTCATTGGCCAGAAAGTGAAGCCTTACAAAAGGTGTCCTGAGGCAGTGAGCAAGGTCCAGTGGCTTCATGTGGTGTCCTTGTGCTGCAAGCTTCTCTGCTATCAGGATAACCTCAAATTCACTCTGCATTTTGGCCTGGGTCATTTTGAAGAGTTCAGGCTTGCAGAGCCCTGCATACCTCCACGGTGGCCTGCAGAACTGGGCCACTAGGCTGAGGGCTCTCTCTGCCATGAGGGACACTGCAAACTTGTGGTGCATCTCAACATGGGCCAGAGTTGCCATGCCAGGGTCAAAGTACAAGACTTTCATCATGTCCACATTGTGAAAAAACTGATGGCGCAAATCAACCAACTCTTGCTTCCATCCCTCATTGGCCACCATGGCCACCAAGTTGTCTTGCACTTGCTCACATGTTTTGACTTCTTTTGCCATGAGACTGTATTTTGTCCACAGGGGTTTGCCACCCTCATAAATGAGGCGCCTTTGCCACATGGTCTCTGTGGTGATCAAAGCAGGTGCCAGTGCCCAAGTGCCATACTTCATTTTGAGATGTCTAAGTTCCTGTTGAGGAGTCACCCCCTCAGTCTCAGGTACAAACACTGGGGTCTCAAAGTCTCCCTCCTCACCATCCTCAAAGGTACCTTCATGCAGCATCACCAGTCTGATCATCCATACTTCACCCTGCATGAATCTTGCTGCTTCCCACCAAGAAAACCATCTCATGAGTTTGGTCAGAGGACCATGGATCTGGCAGGTTCTCATTTGGGCCATCTCTGCAAATAAGTGCCCCCTTTGTTGTGATGTCCCATCCTCAATCTGACCCCTTTCAGAGCAAATATGCTGAACATATGACACAAAGGGGTTCTGGTGGCAGGATCTGTTGGCAATGAAATTCTTCAATGCACTTTGCTTTCTGGTAAACCATGTTTTCTGATTTGCTGGTCCATAGTTAACATTCTGTATGACACCAAAACTGAGAAATGTTCTGAACAATTTGCTGGCCCTAAGGCTCAATTTCAAATCATTCCAGGTCCTGTGGGTGCCATCATTTGCCACCAGTAGGCAAACAGGGACCATGTGCTGAATGTAGTCCATGGCCCCCATGTTAATGCCTCCTTGGTCTGAATAGGATGTCAGGCAATGTTGCTCTTTGAAGGTCCATCCATGTGGTAGCTGCCTTTGACAAGTATCAGTTTTTGTGTTGTAGATCCAAAACTTTCCACCTGAAAAATGCCTTCTTTCATGTGTCTTCAAAGGTCTCCACAACACATCCTCTCTAATTTCAAACATGGACAAATCCTTCTTGATTCCCTTCAGTGCATGACTCACAGCACGCAACTCTGAGTACCCAGAAATTCTTGTAATCTGTTTCCTTTGGGCAAGGGCTTTGATTTCACCATTGACCTCATCTGCTTGCACTGGCATGAGGTACTGGATGGGCAAATAGGCAGCTGTGTTGTTTTGGTTGCTCCAAATGATCACAACCATCACCTCATCTCCTGAATATGTACTTGGGTCCCAAGATATCTGAAAATGAGTGCAGCTTGAAAAGGCATGCCCCAACAATTCCAAGTACTCCTGACATTCCAACTGTGCCTCTTTGACTATGAGAGAAGCTGTTTGTGGAACCACTTCACTGTGAGACTGCATGATGATTTTGCGATGTTGCTTGTTCTTTGCCACTTTCTTCAAGAGACACAGTTTGTTCACCCAAGGCACCCTCTTGTTGTTGCCAGCTCTGGTTTTCAAAAGTGGTGCTGCCTCTGGCTTCTTCTCTACAAGGGCTAAGGCATGTTCCTCAACAGCTTGTCCCAGCAGGAAAAGTATTTTTGGCCAAAGTTGTGCCCCAACCTCTTTCCAGGCAGATGAACTTGGGGAAGTGGTTTTCACATACAATAGCCAAAGCAGGACATCAAACACAGTGGCATGTTGCACTGTGCTAGTCAACTTCTGTGGCAACCATCCTTGTCTCATAAGCATTCCCCATGATTTGTTGGCACCCTGGTGATTAGCCATCCACTCTGCCAAATCTCTGGTAGTACCATCTGAGAATTCCACATTGAGCAGTTGCTCAGTGCCATCCATTCTTGGAACACACAATGCCAATTTGGCATTGCCAGAGCCCATGCACTCCCCAACAAGATTTCTCAGCAATTTTAGTGACATCTGTTTGCTGTGCACTCTTGTTTGCCTTCTGGTAACCAGAATGCAAAGCATCAAAACCAAAGCTCTGGATTCAACTGTGTGTCTCCCCTTTTCACCTCCACCTTCCTTTGCACCTCTATAATGCAGTTCTTCCATGCTCAACTGTGCACCACCAAACTC